GCAAAGTGAATTGAAGTCCACACATCTTCAAGCTGCCAAGGTTGAGAAACACTGTCTTAAACTATCGGATGGATGCCACACCAAGGAAGGCTGTGACAACTAGCCAGATATTTTCTAGGTTTTGTGCATGTTTTGGATTTATAGAGCAATTTCCTCAGGATAGCCTCCAAAACTCCAGAACCCAGTCCTAATGAACACATCAGTTATGAGTTTGAGAATCACACAGCTTCTGCCATGCTTAACGTTCATGATGGTTGTGCTCAAATTACATGGTGACACCTGTCCAATTACATTCCTGTCAATGGATTTACACAAGTGTAACTAAGAATAGCTCAGTAAAGAACCCTTGAGGAATCACAAAATGGAACAAGGATCTGTTTCGCTTTATGAAAGCAACACTAGCTCTCGAGAACAGAGCACACACGCGCGAGCATTATTTGATCGGAGTATTTGTAAACACTGCTTTGAATGCATTTTGTAAAAAAAAAAAAAAAGTGAATTTAATTGCAAAGGAAAAATGATGCCAAAATCAGCATATTTAAGATAACTTAAAGATAAATTTACCAAAGTATTCCACAGCAAGACGTTCTCCATTATAATAACGGATAACCTCTTGCTGTGGAATACTTTGGTAAATTGGTAAGCAGCTTGCAAAAGAATAAATTATACTTGTACCAACTCAGGCACCTGACAGAGTATATATAAGAAAGTCGATCAGATAAATATCGGGGCACTTTACGTATCTGACCAATTTGGTTCGGTCCCATAAAACTTACATTATTAGGCAGCAACACGACACTTACTTGGTTTGTCGCAGGCAAAAACTATAGACTTTCCTGAATCTGTATTAGCTACAGTCATTAACAGATAACATTTTGTGAACTCCATGTGCTTCTACGTGACTACATGTATGACCACGTATGAAGAATTTATTAAAATGATAGAAAGGGCTCAAAGAACCTTATAGTTTTCTATATAACATGCAAAGTAGGATGAAGTCAATCATCCGAAATGCGGGAAGCGAAACTGAGTATGAACACCGACGTCCAATCGATAAAGAGAACGTTTTGACTTTTTTTAAAAAGCGTCTTGACTAATCAAATTCATTCCACATCAAATGAAAACTGAAATGAAGAGTTTTAGGGTGGCGAATTATTTTTCACTCTCATTCAGGGAGCCTGTATCCTTCTTCTATGGTACAAGCCTCTGTATCAGTGTTTCTCCACCTTGGCTGCTTTAAGATGGGTGGACTTCAACTCCCAGAATTCCCCAGCCAGCAAGGAATTCTGGGAGTTGAAGTTCACCCATCTGAAAGCCGCCAAGGTTACAAAACACTGCTGTACATTCTGATGTTGCTCAACAGTGCCTCAGATGAGTTGGCTCTGGGTTGGGAAACTGCTGAATAGGTCAGATCTACCTTCTCTTACATGCACCCAAGGCTTTAAGCTCTTAAGCCCAATGATTTATAGTGTCTT